GTAACATAGATGCTTTCCTTCAGTTCTTTCTAAATGTCTTTAGCCAACTAATTATGAACAACTAACAGAAGTGCTTTCACACAAAGCGGGTTAATTAAACACAGCTCTGATTAACCTCCTAATTACCAGTTCTTCGACCTATTTAGATGGTTTTGTTCTTGAAGCGGTTTGCCTTTGGGTGCAGAGGAAACAAAGCAGAGACATGACAAGATAGCAAATGTTGTTTTGGTTTTAGAGTTCCTACAGCCTTGGCCACCGGGGAAGAGCTGTTAAAACACTAAATATAAACATTGTACGAGTCAGTTTACAGATTACATGATTATAAATAATTCCAGATTCAGTATATACCAATTATACAAAGTTAGGCAGCATACAGTGTCCTTCAGGATGTGAAAAAGGGGAAACATATATGTATGTTTAGCTAAAGGTACACCACCCAACACATATTTATTTTTATTATTCAATGCAATGGAAAATTGTATACCTTATACCATAATCACCAGTGCTAGATGTACTTGGAGCCCTATAATCCATAGGAAATAAATATAACTAAATATTTTTTTATTTTATTAGGTTTCAGGAGAATTTAAAGGTGCCTCAAACAAGCTGCATAGGCTTCACACTTTATGAGACTTACTTCAGACTATCCAATTGGATATTGGATTTAATAAGCCAATCAGGCAGAATGTTTGACCTAATCTTGCTGTCAGATGAAGCGACAAATCAGATCTTCCTAATCACTACATAGTGTGCTACTGCCCTAGCAGTGATTTCTACTAATGTTTTTGTTCGTTCTTCAGTATTTTTGCTGTAAAATCCAATGTAAACATCAAACAGCTACAGTACTGCTGGTTCATTTTGAGAATTTTTAACATCTCTGTTTTGGTCGAAGCTGTAACTGTAGTTGAGTGAAAACGCCAGTGGCCAGCCCCGCTCTCTCTGTCACACACTATGTTTGTGAAGGGGAAAGTGATCAGAGTGATTGTGACTTCCACCATGATAAAACTGGGTCAATGTTACCCCAACCCCCCTCCACTACAGGCAAGGCCGAAAGAGGGGGGGTGGAAAGAGATGTGGATACCATCCCCAGACTGCGCGTGGATTTAAACATGGAGACACTGGAGCGTGCTGTGCTTTCCCGATGGGTTGGTAACTGTGTTGTATAGGGGTTGAACTCCCCGCCACCCTACCCCACCCTCAAGATTGTTCTGACTTGTTCCTTCCTCTCCCTGTAGTCTGTGGTTTATGGTGCATCAGTATGATCTGTTCCTCTGTATTTTATCTCTGCCCACTTTTGTTACTGTCAAACAGTGTTGTGCATTTCCAGGGCCTCCCATTGATCTCCCTTTTCCTAAAGGAATCTTTCATACAATGGCGACGGGACAGCGAAGGATGCGTTGAAATGAAAATCCACCCTAAGGGAGAGGGGGGTTACAGACGGTTGAGGGTTCCTTGAAATGCTTTCCAGTTCAATAAATATGGCAAAAAACGAGTAATCAGTCATAATTTCCTTATTAGCACATTCCTTTTCTGCCTCGATTACTTAATTACTAAATAATAACTGTAACTACTCAAAATGCCCTTCCCAATTGATATAGATGATCCAAAGCAATATAATGGTGAAGATTCTAAGTCATCCAGGTCTTGATCATTCCAAAAAAGTAATAAAAAAAAAAACAAACAAAAAAAACACAGGGCTTTCTTTTCAATTCCCATCCAGGAAGCTTTTTAAATTGAAAATGTCAGAATCTCAGTAACAGCTCATTCACTTTGCGGAAGAAAGCGCAATAGATGATGTCAGAGTTTCTTTTCCAACCAGCAAATAGTTCGATGGGGTTAATTAACTGAAAATCAAAATTAGCAGGAACTTTTTCAAGCATTTGAAACAGGGACGGCCTTACAGAGGATTAGAAGGAACAGATTATCAATAAATCCTGTTTTCAGCCCTTTGTTGTCCGGGACCTTTGGTAGCATGTAGTCTCTGTTAAGCAGAAACATGCTACAGTTTTAGAAATGCTATGACCTACTGACTAAATGCCAGTCATGTAGTTCAATTATTTTGGGTCTAAATGGAAAGATAATCCCTTCAGCAAATTCTGAGGTTCTTGTACTGGTTGGATGTGCTGGGAAAACATCCTAAGGGGAATAATCTGGCAGGCTTCCAAATCACATACAGATGCGTATCAGATATTTAATCCATATCAGATAACTTCAGAATGTCCACTTGATACTGAATGTGTTCCACCCATTTTTAGGGGCTAAGGTAACCCATCGATGTAAAGAGAAACAGTAAAAAATGGAGCTCATCTTTCTCGACTTGATTTCGTTTCCAAAAAGAAAACCTCTGAGCCTTTTCAGCCAAAACAGATTTTATCCTGATGCTAATTTTAGCATGATAACGTTGTCCCTGCTGGCCAGCACTGTCAGAACCACGCAAAGAGGAAATTAAAGCACTTCATCAAGCAAAGATCAGGGGCTGATTATAATTACCAGTGTATCAAGAGGGTGGATTTTCATTTAAATGGCAGTAATATTTCATTCCAATGGTTTATAATAACAACATTAAAATGAGTTTACTGCAAGAATGTTGGTATCAAACTTCAATAACCAAAGTAGCAATTCTTTCGAATTGATCACAGGAGCAATTTAAACCATTCAAATTGTGAGGATTTTGCACAACTGTTCACTTATTAGAAACTCTCCGATAATCTTTTCTTACTTGGAAATGAAGTGAAAAATGACTATGTAATTGTTCTGTGTTGTCTGTGTATGTGGTTTTCTGTTATGGCATGGACAAATGCTTGTTTTACCATACCATACCAACTTTATTGAAGAAGCACTTTATGCACCAGACAGGACCAAAGTGCTGTACACAATCATAAAATACAATAAAATTATAAAATAGAAAAAAAACAAGTGTAAAATACTTATTAGTATACAAACAGTATAAAATAAAGTAAAACTTCTCAAATTGTATCAAAAGCCAAGGAAAAAAGATGAGTCTTAAGAAGGGACTTAAAAATAGCAAGAGAAGAGGCCTGTCTTATGCTCAAAGGCAGATCATTCCATAACTTAGGAGCTGCCACAGAAAAAGCACGGTCCCCTCTGAGCTTGTATTTTGTATTTTAGCTGAAAAGCTATACTTTATCCAGTTTCTTTTTTTATTTTACTATCCATCGCAATCAATTCTGGTTAAATTAGTAGAAAAATAGGCATTTTTAAATGTTGAACTCTAATATACAACACATAAACTTACATATTACCCTTTCTATTCCCCGCAAAAACAAGCAAATCTACTTCAAGAAAATAATCTTTATTGCACAAAGGGTAATATTCTTAAAGAGAAAACAAAAGCATTGTTGACTCACCTTTTCACTTTTATTACAGTGATTTTAGCTAACTACAACATCAGCCATGATGGTGTTTTATTTGATAATTTTTTAGTTTTTCATCTCCCCTCAGAGGGATAAAGATTGTTACAGCTCATTTTCCACAGCTTTTCCTATTTAGCCTTTGAGGAGCCTTGCTGCCATCAGGATTAGCTGGGATTATGTGTTGCTAATAGCAAAAAAGGTTAGCACCTTCGGATATTAGGAGGAAAACAAATACGAACATAATTGAAGACAAGCATTGTTGTCCATGGTGTAAGGCAGACCAGACGTTGAGCTGCATGATTGAATGGATCAAGTTATACCCTGCCATATCCATTCCTGTAAAACATGCAACCGAACTGCTGTTAAATTTATCCTTCACTTCCTGAAAATGTTTCTTCAGGATCAAAACTAAGGTTTAACTTTACGGATTGTTTTGTATTAAGTCATGTTTTGTCCTGCAAAATATTACAGTGACTTGCAAATGCAAAACATATGATTTTTTTTATGAAAATGTGTCACCAAATTAAAATATTTTTGATTTGCTGTTCCTTACAAAAGTATTGATATCCTTGAGGTCTTTCACATTTAGTCATGTTACCAAAAGCAGTAATGCATTCTGTGAAATGTAATGTCACTGGCCAACACAAGGTGGTGCATTATTGAATGCTGAACATTTTTCTTCAGATTTTATTATGTATTCTTTTTATAATACACAATTTAAAAACTTTTTTCTTCTTTGACACTTTATGATGAAAGTATCACCAACTGTCAAATAATCTCACAAGCAGCAATGAGGCCCACAGTTCAGCTACAATAAACTGTTGGAGACTGCTTGTAAGCTCATCTAACCTCTTTTTATTGAAGAGTAGCCAGAAGAAAGCAATTACCAAATTAAACGTAATAATAAGAAGTCCTAGTGTCAGATTTGGACCAGCTATCAGAAATTAACACTACTAAAAGAGAGATCTTTGGTCGGAAGAGGAATCATTCAAACTATTTGGGCTGCATTAAAAATGTTCCAAGTGGAAGGAGAGAGACATTGCACAGCATAGTGTTGTTCCATCCATCCAGGCAATGACTATAAATATGTATAACTACGATACAAAGGTTTAGTATAAAATACTATCCCTGTGTTAGAATGGCCAAGTCAAACTCCAGGCCTAAATCCAACTGTTCGTCTGTTGCAAGACTTCAAAGCTGCCCTTTACAATTTATCTCATTTAATCAAACAAAATCCTAAATCTACAAAATGAGTTTCCTTCCACATAATTATTTACTAGTTTTCTGCTGGTCTTTCAAATTAGATTCATATAAAATGCATTGGCATTTTTAGATGTAACATGAAATTTAAAAAGGCTTAAATGGTACCAATACTTTTGTAGCTTTACATTTCACATTCACCTTATTTGTTGTAATAAACATCCCTATATTTTTAACATAAAAACAAATTGCATAAGTGTCATGCTATGTATTCCTTTGTAAAACTGTGTGTCAATCAACATGAGTATGTATGTGCTGTTTACATCCCAACTTGTGAAATGTAAAGGTCTGTCTAATTAGTCCAGTATACGTGACAAAGTTGTAACTTCCTGACAAATATGATTGTTTCTTCTTTTTCATTGCCAGCTTTGCATAAACCCAGATGCCTCCACTCCCTCTCGACGAGCGCATAGTGGTCATTCAACGCCCCAAAAACGCGTATGAGGCTTCCCCACAAACCGTCCCACACCATTCCTCTCAAGTAACAGCCTCTACCAATGGACAAGTTACCCGACCTGTCCATATCCATGCTGCTCATTCCCATTTTTACTCACCTGTGTGTAAATCTCTAAGTGTGGAATGCAAGCGCAGGTCGTCCCGTGTGCAGAGATTCAAGGGCGACCAGCCCGCCAACCCAGCAGCAGTCCGACATGTTCCGAGCCACTGCCATAGCAATGGTACAGTAACACTCGGCCCACGACTTCCCTCCCATACACATACTATTGATATCAAGGTATCGGTGGACAAAGGGGGAAGAGGAGGACTTAGCAACTCCTTAGGGCGCACTGGAAGTGTAAAAGGGGGTAGAGGGAAATGTGTCTCTTCACAGCTGAATCCAGGACAATGTGAGAGAAAAACTGGAAACTCTGGGAGGCCTTGTGGAGTGGAGCACAAGCCTCAGCGAGTTCGTCAACTTTCATCTTCCCCTGGAGGGATCCTTCAGTTTGTCCCTGCTCAGGCACAACAGCATACATTCAGACGAGAAAAGGAGAAAGAAAACTCCACTTTTCATAACAGAAGCGACCAGGAATTTCCCTCTTTGGGTCACAGGAAAAATTCCAAGCTGGGAACTGTTCGTCAAAGCCATAATAACCACAGTCTGCCCTACCAGCACCACTCTGTTCCTGTGCCCCATGCTGCCATCATAAACTCTTCCTATCCTTCCTCCCCTCCACCCCAACCCCCTGATGTTCCTGTCTCTTTTCAACAACATAACCAACCTTACCCGTCTCACACAAGGGATCGCCGGCCCCACATTCTTCATGGTCTTCCGTTGTCCCCTTGCTCCTCCCGGGTTGGAGGGTTCCCTAGTCCAGACCACACTTGCACCATTGACTGTGCACACCCGTTCAACTGTGGCTGCTGGAGATTGGTCAAATGTACAGGGTGTAAAGGAGATTCTTCCAGTTACCAAGGAGGCGGAGGAAGCACTTCTACCTCATTTTCCTGTGGTCACAATGTTGGCGCAGTGAAGAGAGGAAGTAAAGACATGGGCCTAAAGAATTTGGGTGGCTGTCTCTCCACCGCCTCCACATCAAACACCTCCTCAACGAATAGCACCGCCTCTGACTGTCGAGCAGCTCGGTTCAAACCTCTACCTTGTGCCTCCTGTGGGGGAGAGGCTGGAAACTTTGAGAGTCCTGCTATCCTTCGTAAAAAACTAGTAGGGGGATGTCTTCCCTGTACTTCTCTGACCTCTTCAACCCCTTTGCGGGCGATTCAAAGCTGTGTATCTGGTTGCAACAACAAAGCATCCCAGACTGGCAGTTCTTCCTGCAGCTACTGCAGCAGTGACCCAATAGTGGTTACATTCAATCCTCGCAGAGGAAAACCCCCTGGACGAGGATTAGGGCCGATTCAACCGATGACTATGTCACAAGCTGATGATGATGACTACAGTGTCCGCACCATCTGGCCTGAAGAATTGGCCAAGAAGATGACCCATTCTAAAACCCAAAAGAACAACTGTGCTGGGATGGGTGTTGGGAAAACCTGCTCTAGTCATGCCGAGAATGGCAGAGACGGAGGCGGCATGGCCATCTTGGACTGTCAGAACCTTCAGGATTACACACAGAATCATCTCACAGACCATGCCGGCCGACGACGCCTTCAGCAAGGAAAAATGGCCGCACTTGGTTTTGTAGGCAGCAGGTTGGGATCTAGCTATGATGATGGCCGTAACTCGCTGAAGAGGCTCTTAAATAAATCAGAAGATGTTGGAATAAGCGACAGTCCTGAGCATAACCAAGTGTATCTAAGATCCACTTCTCCCCACACTGTGTCTCCACCATCTCCTGTGTCCTTTTCCCCTCCACCATCGGCCCCCAGTACACTCATCAAACCCAAACCATGGCAGAGAGACAGGGAAGGAGGACACTCTTTGCCATCGGCTCAATCCCTTCACCTGGCCCTGAACTCCCTTAACAGAGATCAAGACGAGGAGAACAGCCGAAGTAAGATCATACTGCAGTTTAACTGAGTAAAGCAGGTTATGTCCCTTTACTAATAAAAAAAAAGTACATATATTTAACGCAAAATCTGGCCATCTTAAGTCTAAAAAACACCTGTAAAGCAACTTATTGATCAACTTCATTGATCATGTTTTGGGAGTAAAACAAACAGTGGAAACAAATGTTCAACTTTTTCTTGACCTAAATGCATTTATGAGCATTTGTACTAACTTTAAATTAGTTATAAAATGTACTTCTTGTCAGAACTTACTTACTCCTAATGTGATCTTTACCAAAAACATTGCAGTGTTACCAGATATATAAATATCCGTTTTTGTAAATGTGGTTCTTAAGGTCACTTGAACTCCTTGAAATACCAATGCATCTCCATACTTTCTTTTTTGTTTCCCAGTGAGGCTGTCTCTGCCACTGTCCTCATCATTGCCAGCTTCACTGTCCGATGAAACTTTGATGAGTCCCGATGCGGAGAACGCCGTCATCAGCCCGATCCTGCCCTTCCTGTTCCTGGGAAACGAGAGAGATGCCCAGGACCTGGACCTGCTGCTGCGCCTCAATATTGGCTACGTCGTTAATGTAACCACACACCTGCCGCTCTACCACATCAACTTGGGGCTGCGCTACAAAAGGCTCCCGGCCACTGACAACAGCAAGCAAAACCTCCGGCAGTACTTTGAGGAGGTCTTTGAATTCATTGGTGAGAACCAGACTTTGAAAAACTTCATGTGTGTACGAATGTGTATGTGGCATTAGCGTTATTCTCAGGATTTGAGAAGTATGGTATCTTGCTTACTGGCCTACTACCATTTACCTTGCAATCACATTTCTTCATCCAGGGAAAGATAAATCAGGATGCACGTGTGCCAGTCTCTTTGTTGAAGATTAGGCTAAATTAAATCATTGTTTTTGTAGTCATTTCATCTTTAAGCTATTATGATGGCTCTATTATTGAGTTATTAGTACTGATTTTTTTTAATTAATTGGACATATGTTTGATCAACAAGCCTAAACTAACACCTTTCTCATCCTTTACTATCAAAATAAAGGATACCTTGCAATTACCCTTAAAAACATACCACAACTGAGCATCCTTTGGTGGCACAGTGGTTTGCATGCATGACCCATGTATGGAGGCCTTAGTCCTCAACATGGCCGACCTTGGTTTGAATCTATGCAGGAAACACCTCCACCAGCAATTTTGTATTTCATCTAGAGAGCCCGCAAAGTGCCAGGATACACCTAGTCAGCAGGAAATCTCCATAAGCAGAAGAGATCTCTGCCGGTGTTATCACTGCAAGTTATATGTACAATTTGTTTGTGTTTTCTCCCTGTTTTCAGCAAATGGCCCATACACTAATGCTTAGAAAACAGAAAACAGAACTTTTAACTTAATATTCTGAGCTCTGCGAGCGCTCCACTGGAAACTCTTGCTGCCGTGGTGCATGCTGCGACAGCTGTCAATCTCAAGAGCGGACAAGTCTGCTCTGATGCATGCTGGGTAAGGGGCAAGAACAACATTCAGGGACTTTGTCCATTCTCTGTCTTGTGTTTTTTGTGAATTGGAACAGTACTAGGGCTGAGGCTGATAATGTTGCACAAGCACATGAGAACACACAAGTACACGTATTGAGAAATGGCCATTGTCTGGTCGCAGTGCAAGTCAAAGCTACACAGCTACAATACATGCTGTATGATTTAAAAGCAAACATCCAAGCCAGTACAGGGCGATTAACATTCTGTTTTGTATGTGTTTGTGTCTTTGTGTGTGTGTGTGTTTTTAATGTTTCAGTTGCTCGTGTTTTATAGACACATACAAAGGCTCTGTTTTTTTTTTTAATATTTCCGTATTTTACTTCATGCAAGAATTGATAAAGTTGTTGTTCTCATCCCCAGAGGAGGCATATCAGAGTGGGCAGGGTGTGTTGGTTCACTGCCAGGCAGGCGTGTCCCGTTCTGCAACCATCGTCATCGCCTACCTTATGAAGCACACCCTCATGACAATGACAGATGCCTACAAATATGTGCGGAGCCGTCGGCCTGTGGTGTCGCCCAACCTGAACTTCATGGGCCAGCTCTTGGAGTTTGAAAGGGACCTTAATTCCGGGGTGACTCCTCGGATTTTGATGCCTAAACTTAGCGGTGTGGAGACGCAGGTCTAAATATTGTAGCATTAAAAAGAAAAAAAGCAGTCAGTTTTAGAACCGCATGTACAGGATAGTGGAAAGTCTTGGTGGGTTTGGCAAATAGTGCACTTTTAATACCGTGAAACATGAGCCAGAGGACTGGATGGTTCATTTGTTCAATTGTTAGACAATTTGATCCCCATCCAGTATTCTGCTTATAAGATAATGTGCCAATATTTTGTACAGCTCCAGTATAATTCAGTTCTCTTTTATTTTATCCGATAACTCTTTTTTTCCTGTTTACAGTAATCTCCACAAAGAAAGAGTGACTTTATTGCCCTAAATCATAAATGCATGCAGAACACAAAACCCTGGAAAAGGGATAATTGTTAATCATTCATCTACAGCAGCTTTTTGACGCTCCTGCCACATGTAGCAGAGAAGTGCACTTTATTTTTCATGCATTAGTTAAGTTATTACCCACTGAAAAATCATAAAGAGAAGACCTCACTAACTGTTTTTAAATTGAATCTTTTGCTTACATTTGAACAGTGTAGCATGGACCTATTATGAAAAGTTAATACAACGAAGCACCTTTTTTTATTTTAGTGGTTAACAATAAGTCTGGACAGGGAAATTTACACCTAAAAATGCAGGTTATACAACAGAAAAAGGTCACTTTAAATGCATTTGAATGCAACAGTGCAGGGGCATTTTCTAGAGTACATTTTAACATACGTGTGGGATTGCAGGATGTTTATTGCTGTTATAATGTGCTTTAAAATGTCTCTTTTTATGTTAACTTGTATTTCTTTGTGTTTTACTATGTAGCGAGAAACAAACCTGCAAAGGTATTTCAGAAATCAATGAGCACATGGTTGAGTTTTAAGCTCCAGTAAAAGCTCATGGGGTCATGCATTTATTTTTCTATATGGAAAAACCGCTGCAGTTTGGAGAAGGGTTTTTTTTTTTTTTGAATGGCAACTCATACCAGGCAAAGATCATTTAAAATAGCACAGTGCCAGACAAAGTTAAAGACACCACTTCTAAAAATTTTTAAAATGAGTTTTTATTGCAGTAGCATTATCTTACACATTTAAAGAAACCCAAACTTTTACTTTAATTTAAAAAATGTTTTATTACCAGAAGAACTTTGTGCAAAATGAATGGTACCCCTGCTGTCAGTACAATATCAGTTTAACTTTACTAAATCGATTCAATTTACAGCAGATTGAGCCAGCTTTTAATTATTTCCACCATAGTTCTTGTTGCAGTTTTTAATTTGATTTGATTTTTAATGAATTTGTTAACAAATCTAGTTTTATTCAAGAAAGACAATGCAGTCCTTTATAAAAAGAGTTTACAAATTCAGGCAGTAAGCCGTTATTAAAGGTAAACCCAACATTTAACCTTTTTTTTTTTATTCAAAGGAATTCATCCAAAAAAAATTTAACAGCCAAATTTTCTTTTTAAGTTCCCTTGCCTTGCTGCTCATTGTGTATTCAGATGATAAACATGGAGGCAGAATATCATGGATATAGTATTTTATTTATTGATGTATATATATTTTTTATGAAAGATATGCTACTGTAAGAAAAGCTCAATTAATTCTCAGGCGTTTTGCGTGTCTTTATGAAGCTGGTCAATAAAATGGCTGCCAGTGCAGTTTTTTTTATTGAGATTTGTTTTCCAGCCGAAATATATTTTAATTGCAGCATCGGTCCCGTTTTTTACTATTATTATTCAAAAAGTTGACAGATTTGGCCTTACAGCTCGTACTGACCTTCTCAGCCATGTCTTTCATTACTATGCATTATCTTGATAACAAAGAGTTTGTTTTGTGTTTGATTCACTGTGAATTGTTTTCTGAGCAGTTCAGATTTGGATCTTGTTTAGTAAGAGAGTTTAATTAGGCACAGGAGGATTAGATAAAATTAATCAAATAACTTGATCTAAGTTAATTAAAAAACAGATCATTTGACAATGATACACAATGGTGTGACGTCCCAATAGATCTTCCACTAGCTGAACATTATTAAGCTATGTATCTAATTAGATCTGAAGTGTTGGGTTGGTAAGGGTTTTCTAAAATAATTTACTAATAATATAATATACATTATGATTATGATAACATGATATTGTTATCTAATTTAATTTAATATTTGTAAAATATGTATTCTTTTAGCAGCAAATCATGCAATTTTATAGCCTTTTAAAACTATGTGTTGAATTCTGTTATGTGAAAACCAATGTTTTCTAATGCCTGTTATTGGATTTTTATTTAATGCAAAGTAGAACAAACATTTCATGAAAAGTAAAGGGAAATATGTTGTTTTTTTTCTATTTTTTTTTTAACCTATCAAATTTAAAAGGTTTTGTTGGTTTATTTTGCTTAAAAACCAGCCTTCATGCCCATCACATCTGCGAGTTGCAGAAAAATTAGCGAGAGTTCCGTCAGATGAAACGACAGAGAGTATCTGTGAATAACTGTATTCCAGTCTTGCCAGTAATTCAGCTTTTTATTTTGGTCCAGATCTGTTGTTGTCCTGGAAGGAAGGAAGCTTCAAGTTTGTTTATTGTTTGGTGGTATTTTTCCTCCTTGACTGTCTTCCATTAAACTTGATCTATCTTAGCTTTCCTTTCCCTGCATCCCCACAGCATTATACTGCCACCACCCTTCCACCAAGAATGTCCAATGTTAGTTTTCTATCACAGGTTCGCATGGAAGTTAGCCAGAAAACCTGTTTTGCACATTTTTACTACATGGCTTTTAGCAAACTGCAAACAGGACTTCTTAAGACTTTCAATAGATTTGAAAAATCTATGACTTGTGCTTGAGAATCATCATTTATAGTGACTTTGTCAGCAGATTATCTGGCCTACCTGAGCAACTTTGCAGCTCCTCAAAGTTTACAGAAGGCCTCTTTTGGTTCTTTGATCAATTTTTTCAATGATTGATAGATTTCTCGTTTAGTCGTGCTATTTTCATTTTCATAAAATGTAGTCAAAGGCAATTGCCTGGACTGGATTTTATCTAGAGTTATCAAAGCAAAGGGGGCTGAATAGAGATGCCTTTCTAAACATTTGAGATTTTACTTTCAACCCATAAGAATCCAATAACATGCATTAAAGTTTATGGTTCTGTGAGCCAAAATGAGGTTTAAATACTTGCATGGCAATTTCAATTCGTCATCATGAAATGTTTGAAATTAATTATTGAACCCTTTACAACACTGACTGGGCTAGCTACTCTTTTCAATTAAAGTTATGGAGGGATAGGTTTACAGGTTTTTGACCCATTTCTTGGAACAGTTACAGTAAAGATGATTTTGAAGTTCAAAAGTTAGATGGAAGATTCCCAGAAACTAAACAATAACACGATTTAAATAAACATATTGTGCACCTGATAGAGCAGGAAGGAGAAGTGTAGCAATATTCTGTTGATTTTTCTTTGTTTCTAACTCTAGTTAATTTTCTTTCCTCCGCGATCGAGCTGTGATTAAGAGAAAACCTTGGTCTAGTTCTCTGAAAACCACAATGCCTTTAGTTTGTGTAAACTGGTACATAGAGTGAAAGAAATCCTTAAAATGTGTTTATTTTCTGGCAAGTTAAATTTGTTATAGTCTTTATATTTTTCTACAGTCAGACTTCTTAATTTTTGTTGGATACACAGTTTTACATGAGTGTTTTCTTTTTTATTATAATACATGTCTCTCTGGTTTTAAATATAAGGGTCTGCATGGACAGAATAAATCTCCGACTCTGCCATGGCAGTTTGGATCTTGGCAAGTGGGGGTCAACATTGTTGTTTTAGTTGTTTTTTTTTTTTTTGTTTTTTACCTCTCGCCTTTTTTTCAGCTTGAAAAACGTCAGCCAAGCATGCTGACCACTCCTCTCGTCTCTTCTGCAGCTCAGATCACCTTAAAAAGAGAGAGGACCTGCTGTGGCTCCCAGATTTCCAAATGAACTTTATATGCAAAATGGCTGCTGAAGCAATTACTTTAAGGCCACACTGTGTGGACTGGCTACGCAGTGGCCTCGTAGCTGACCTCAAGATGTTTGTAACCGAGAGACACTTTGACGGAAAAATCTCTCTTTAATTTGCGGGAACTGAAGGGCCTCTCTGTGTGTGAAAGTGAGTATGCGTGTGCTTCTGTCTAATATGTGTGTTCAGATTTTACTTGTGTTTTTGTCTTGAAAAATGGGTTGGAGGGGGTTAAAGTAACTGTGCATCCAGGAACATTGTATATCTTAGCTTTGCTTTTTCATGGGAACTATTTAATTTAACGTTCCAATTTGTTCAAATTTGAAAGTTATTAATGAGATAACTGAGTAGAAAAGACGGCATTACTACATTTCCTGATGGGGGTATGAACCCTTCAGGTACGACTTGTCATATTAATGCTGTGCTGTTTCTTCATACCCCCCCCCCAGAGACCTAGAAACTCATGTGATTTTCCTTGTAATGCTTTTCTCCTGCTTCCTCCCTTTTCATATTGGATCTTTTCTCTTTAACCAGTTTCATATTGTAGCATCCGGTCCTTGTATTTAGTCGTTTTTACCTCTATGTACCGATTATACTCTTCATAATCCTTCTGAGGTGCACTGTGACAAACATGATGCTGCTATATCAAAGACTGTGTGTCTGCCGATCGCATTTAGCAGATGGTTACCGCTGACTATGCAGGTAAAGCCCTGCTTAAATTGTTTCAATTCAATTCCAATGTGCTGCCTCAGATGTTTCCCAGGTTGAAGTGCACAACTGCAGGATCTGTAGCTGTCCATGGTGGTCTTCCTCTGCAAGCGTCGAAAAAAAGGAACAAAAGCAAAGTGTGTCAAAGTATTTCTGGTTGCCCTGTCACTTTTGCAGGTTGCTTTTTCTGCAGGACAAGTGTTTTTGGCCAATACCATCTCTAATCTATAGTACGTTTCCGATTGGAGTCCGGGCATAAAATTATTTTTGACTTTTGGTACAATGAAGTTTGTTTTATGACGACCGTTCAACTACTGTTGAGTCATTCATGCTGAAACTAAGATTTTAAGAAGTTTGTATGACATGATGCAAAGGATAATAAAGATGCAGATGTGTATGCTGTGTGGCTGTTTGTTGATTAGACATTTATGGATTTGTCAATGGTTAGATATTTGGTTCCAGCTTTTAGATGAATATTAGATTTGGTCAAACCCTCATCATGTTCACTGGAAAATAAAAACCACACTGTTAGAACCAGGGAGAGAATGTAATTTGAATGAAGAATTGATTTCTAACTTGAAGTGAAAGATGATCAGATATAAGAAAAGAAGTAATTACTCTGAAACGCATAAAGGGAATGGATAAGCCTATATCTTCTATCAGGAGAAGCCTCTCCTCAGCCTTATGCTGCCACCACCATGTTTACTCATGTAAATAATTTGTTCTTAATGCTATTTGCTCTCATTTTGTTTTATATTCCCCCTGCGTCAGGTTTATACTCTTACTTTAGATTGTTATTTGCATGACATCCACAAAATGCCTAAGTGGGTTTTCACTCGCAAGGTGTTGGACACACATAGTCATGTCTTTCAAGTTTATAGTTTAGAATAGAACTTTCATAAAAGCTCTTTTAAGACACAGATGCTAATCAGTTCACATATTCTCAGGATACACATATTTTAGATTTAGAAACATACTGTATATTCTGTACCAATGATATGATTGCTGTTCTCAATTCAGTTTATTTATATAGCGCCAATTCACAACACATGTCATCTCAGTTTACTTTACAGTTCACCAGATCATACAGTCAAATTGATTCAAAGTTTTCTATCTAAGGAAAACCAGTTGATTGCATCGACTCATTGACGCGGATGCAATCCCTCAAACTAAGCGTGCTTGTAGCGACAGTGGAGAGGAAAAACTCCCCTTTTAAAGGAAGAAACCTCCAGCAGAACCAGGCTCAGTGTGAGCGACCATCTGCCGAGGCCGACTGGGGTTCAAAGAGACAGAAGCAGAGATTAAAAAAAGCAGCTGTAAAAGGCGGCCCCATCCAGGAAACACACAGCCAGGCAGACAAACTCTAAGCCAACTCCCATGTTAGAGGATGAAGAGAGCATATCCAGCCAGTCACAGTTAGAGAAACAGGACTACACTGGAAAAACAGGCAGATCTCTGCCATCTACATTCTCCCACCAAGTTTCATACTGTATGTAAGCCAAACCAAACCTGAGGATGTGACTGGAAGAGTTCTTCTTGTTGGATTTTAAGTGTTAACACACTGGAACTGGTTAAAAAGGAGAAATAATGATTTCTCAGACTGTCACTGGGGATAATATGCTTGTGTTTGTGTGAGAGAGAGGGGGGATCGGTGTGGGTTAATGCACTAAAAGCTCCTCTGAGCTCAAACATGCAATGAAACCGTTCTCTGTGATAGGCTGGAACCGCCAACAGATCACCGGCACTCTATGAATGAAGCCAGTAGTGTCTGTTTGGAAAGTATTGAGTCTTTATGTTTCCGTCAATGCAAATGGACAATTGCAGCTGATGATTCGAATGATCATCATCATTACATAAGGGCGGTTTGTGATTCTCAGCAGCATGCTGCGGCACCCAGAGGGCAGATCGATCAGAAAGGCAGAGAGGTTAAAACAAACTCAGCATCCGCCTGATGTAACTTCTTCAAACAGCTCTGCCGTGCCAACTGTGAGAACCAGGTTCTTTTAATCATTTAAACCTACCCGTTTACTGTTCTGGTTTCATCCTAGACATGAACATCTCACATATTTTAGAAATTGATGCTTTCAACCCCATTATTTTTTTTTTTCCTTGGAGGAATAATAACTCATTGTGCAGCTTAGTAAGTAGAATGGTTAAAGTGTGCAACACTGATTTTCTCCAGCTAATAAAATTATTGAATTGTGAATATTGGCCAAAATATGCAAAATTGTCAAAAAAAAATGTTTTGATAAAGGGACCATAAAAAGTTGTAGTCCATAATTATTGCTCATCTTTGCTGTTAAGATTGAGGTTTTGGGAAGGTCATCAAAGAAGCTTGGTTTTGGTCTATTGTAACTTCAACTTCAAGACATCACATTGTTTTTGCATTGAGAGCATATATACAGTACAAGTGCCTTAAAAGTGAATCATAGGCTACCCACTGAACCTTTTTTTTTCCCCATTTTATTCACATCAAATAAACTTCACTGTACTTTATTAAGATCCTATGTAGCAGACCAAAACAGGGACACTTTTTTTAAAGAAGAAAACTCTTTATCTTCCAACCATGTTTCTACCAGCGTTATTCTCAAAAGTAACCTTTGCCTCCAACCTCTTTTAATCTTCAGTTTCAGACATGTGAAGCACAAACTCTGAAGCTCTGCAAGTTTGTTTTTAGCTTTCGCCTGGTTTTAGCTGTTTCTGCAGTCGGCTGCAGGAAATAAAAGTGCAGTGAATCCAGCAGGCAGGTTGTATCTGAGTTTTAGTGTCTCCAGACTCAAAGGTCCCGTGTGCCTCTACAGTAATTGAGTTGAACTTAATTAGGACATATTAATTAAGTAGGTGGAAAATTGTATTTAGCTGTTAAATACAAAGGAGTTTAACATCCAGTGAAATGTGGTCTGTTGATCATGTATACGGGCCTGTATGATTTAAGATGAGCATATTTACTTGTTTTTCCACTTGAATTATACTCATTTTAAAAAGATGTGTGAATAACCTTAGTTCACCGAAGGGTTTATTCCACCTTGCTTCCATTGCTCGGCTCAGTTTTGCTTAATCTGGTCTGCTCCTCCCAATCATGAAAAAATGAATAATACATTCTTATAAGAACTCTGAGTATTTGACTCTCTAATCTAAGGTAACCAAAAGTGAGTGACCTCCAGCTGTTAGATATATTGACGAGGCTTATTACACTCAATTTTCTATATGAGCAGGAGTCATTCAAAGCTGCCACCAGATGGAGTCCTAAACTAAAGCCATCTACTAAAACGCTTTTTGTTTTCTGCTCTAGTAAAGTAAAATAGCAACTAGGGAATATTTTGCCTTTCTGCAAAGTAAAGAACTGATCTATATGTAACTTTGTATGTTTGAAACCTAGCACTTGACAAGTGAATAATATTATTATAATAGGTCTATTTGTACATACCTTGTACAAATAGACCTATTATAATTCATTTTAGAGATAAATTCAATTATATAGTATAGTAGGCCTACATATGGCCAAAATGCTTCACAGATAACTACAAATTATCAAAATATAAAGAATAAATCTGTAACATAATAAATGGATAAAACATAGGTTTCTGATAGCTATATGGAATATCGACCTAATCAGTCAAAGGCCAGTAAAAAGATAAGCTTTTGAATTTTTAAATCATTTCATGCTCTGAGGAGTGTTAAAATCTAAAGGAGTGCAATCATGAATGATCTGTGTTGATTTATTTTTGCTGGGAATATACATTTTCTTGTCGTAATGCTACAAAATGCAAATAAATGAATAATAATAATTAAAAAAAATGTATTTTCTCTCTGTATAAACACTTTTTAAAAAAGGGTTGTAAGGGAAGTTGGTCATGGCGTCTCCCCGTACCAGCGACAGTTTACGGCAGACATAAACCGGAAGACAGAGGCAGTAAAACAGAGAAGATGTCCCTCCATTGGTAAACACAAGTCGGTAACTTTGCGCCATTAAAGAAAATAAATCAAACATGGCGTCGAACCATGCTTTCAGAACGAAAATATCGTCATGTTGTCTTCTCTCGGGTCTTCCTATCGACTTGTTATAAAACACAGTGTTTATTGAAAATGTATAATCTACAAACATAAAAAAACTTTTCTAGGTCGCCACAAGGGAGTGAAATGTATCCGCGGTGTCAGATATGTCTGCGGACAGCTTTCCTTTACAGGGTGTTTGGTCAGAGAGCGTTCTAAAAACACAAACCCACTCTGCCAGTTTATTCATTTTTCTGTGTCATTCTCATAAGCTAAGAAAAGGATAAACAATAAGACATTATCCTATTCCAGTTGCGAGTTATTAAAATAATAGTGAAAAGCTATACATTTGAAGAAATATAAACCATTGAACCAGACTGCAGCAGTCACCATAGCAACGGAGGAGAGGGTAGGCATCATAGATCTCAGAGGGACACAATACCAATCATGTCTGTGGGGGGTGGTAGATTTCTACGATATGTTAAATTATTTAATGCTGATTAAGTAATAAATATACGAATTAAATATTATAACTTCTGATTTAGACTTCAGTATCACACCCGGGGTGAATCCAGCTGGACCAGATTTCCAGCACACAGATGTGGCGCAGTCCACTTACAAAAGAGAACCATCACCAGTGACATTACCC